TGAGTATTCATATTTAAAATGAATTAAAGAATTTTGTCAGTTGTTGCAACTGCACAAGTTGGTTCTATGATATTAAATAGCATTGCAAAGTGATAAGGTTACCAACAGGGTGCAGTACTATTATTTTTGTGCATTTATGACAACAGCTAATTTGAACCAACTAGCAACAAAAAGCTGTGGTACACAACGAGAACTTAACTTTTTTCTATCGTTTAGGTGCAGTGGTAGAAAATTATGGCTATGTTATGTGCTATACTATAGCATAACGTATAAATTAAAAGAACCAAATTTTCTTAAACCGTGTTCTCTCATAATTATAACTGCAATTAAGCATTTTATACTTATATGCCAACCCCGTACGAAGGACGGGTACTCTGATAGGTTTTAATAAAATTAAGAAAATCTTCACAATGGAATGGTGAGTTTTGTAAAATAAATTACCCAAAAATGTACAAAGATATTGTATATACAAGCAATCTTCATAAATTACATTAGTCTTTTAGCAAGACACCCACGCCTTTTTATCCTTCCTCTTTTAATTTGATCTTAATTCCTAAATGTTCAACCACAATATTATAACATCGATTGACCAATCTATTTCAATGTTGTTTATTTGTGGCAACAATATGACTATGCAATGTTTTCATATTTTTTAAGGTGAAAAATGACATGGTAGTAAACAATTTGTAATTTATATCTAGCAATGAGCTATAAAAAATTCTTAGTTTACAGTTTACGTAGGCCTAATTGATTGTCTTTATTTAAATATATGTGAGCATTTGTAAATGCCTTTTTGAAAACTTTTTTAATACTTTTCCTACTGGTGTTTTACTTATTATTTCCAAGAATTAAAGTAGCTTGTGTGAATACACCAATGAAGTAATAGACACTACATGTCCATTATTATACAGGGTGATTGATATAAGTGTGCCAGCCGTTTTATTCGAAAACTATAAGAGATATCAAAAAAAGTTAAAAGGTAAGTGCCTTGGATTTTTTATTTAAAAAATTGTAGTAAAGTCAAAAAAATTATTTTAGCCGCCATTTTTCCAATATGGCCGCCAACTTTGATTTTTCTTACGGAACACCCCGTATTTTATGATGTATTCTGGTAGAAAAAGTAATTTTAAGACGATTTTATTCTCGTGATTTTTTTCATAAACCTAACCGTTTCAAAGATAATAATGGTTAAAGTTTTGAAATTTCTGCATGAGAAAGAGTTTCGATAAAGGCTTAAGCAAGCATGCCAGCTGTTTTGATCGAAAACCATTCAAAATTTCACAACTTAAACCATTATTATCTTTGAAACGGTTAGGTTTATGAAAAAAATCACAAGAATAAAATCGTCACAAAATTACTTTTTCTACCAGAATACATCATAAAATACAGGGTGTTCCATAAGAAAAATCAAAGTTGGTGGCCATATTGGAAAAATGGCGGCTAAAATAATTTTTTTGACTTGACTATAATTTTTTAAATAAAAATCCAAGGCACTTACTATTTAACTTTTTTTGATATCTCTTATAGTTTTTGAATAAAACGGCTGGCACACTTATATCAATCACCCTGTATTCACACCACGGGACTCTTGCATACACGGATTGCTACAAGACTTATAAACAAATCACCTTAACATTTGCTTAGATTGTATGTTAAAACATTAAATAATCAGATTGGAAGTAAAAAGATGGATACTCAGTTACGCAGGTATTTAATCTCCCCCCTCCCATTATAGTTGATATATTGAAGGAAACAATATCATGTAAATGTCGATCTATATTGCCAGTAGCAGTAACAGCAACATAGTAAGTATTATGGTGAAATGAAAGGTCAGCGTCTACACACTAGAGCGTGATAGTTCACCAGTGTACCACAGTAACCACACTTCACACTGCTCAGGTGCAAGCATAAGTCGAAACGTGAGTAGGACATATACGTAGCCAAAGATGGACTTTTCGTCCTAGGACGCTAGGTTCTAGCCCGGGATAGTTTTTCACATTACTTCAGGCTAGACGTAGGGGTTGATAGATAATATCATAGACAAAAAGGATATCCATTGATGATATGGATTTGAAACCAAGACCTGGATCGAAGTCTCGCGGTCTACTACTAGACCAGCTCTCTCCCCATAGTCAACATCTTTTAATAATGGTGATGATTAATATGAAAATAATTGGGCCCGAATACTCTTATGTTTAGATAGACATCGGAAAATCCCGACTTAATTTTCTTTCACTTAATTAGGACAGCAAGTTAAAATTAACTAAAATTCATTGCATCACTTTTGAAAGGAGGGAAATTTCTATAATGCTCAAAAAGTCCTATAACCAGGCGAAAATACATATAAAATTATGTAAAATAAAAAAAAACATTGAGAAACAAAGATTCAGGTTGGAACAAAACGGGGATAAGAAAAACAAATTCGGAGTCTAGCTTGGAAATAAATGTTGATGGCAAAAAAAACTAATCTACCTAGGGCTCATCGTGCGGTATTGTTAACTTAAGACTTAATCACTTTAGAAATAGTTTTAATTGTTTTTACATGATTTCTGAACCCTAAACTGAATTAGTTATTGCGTGTTCTACTTTACCAACTTTGCTGAAGGGGAAGCTATTTTCACAAGTGTTTTAATAGATCTGAAATTGTCATAGCAGATAATATTTTAAATTATAGTACTCTTCAAGTAGAGTAATTTTGGGTCTGATTTCGACTGGTGTCAAATCAAGACGAAGAACAACAAAACGAAGTACTGTAGAGAGGCTGCCGTTAAATTTCAGTAAGAATTCTTGCTAACGTCGTTAAGAGTTCCACGTCGCACCTTCACAATGAGAATACTATAGAAAAGCTTGTGTGTCGTCATTTCACCTCCTTACTGTGAAGGCCAATACAATAACAATTTTACACTTTTAAATTCTGCTAATTTACTTTCTATAATTAGTAATTCTTAGTACTTTATATAATTAAATCCTATACTCTAATACGAGCAATGTTTGCTTGTATGTATGTATGTATGCTTGCTTGCTTGCAGAAAGATCTCGAAAACGGCTCCGACGATTTTCTTCAAATCTTGTAAATAGCTTATTTTTGGCCTAAAAACGAGTTTACTGCACTTAGAACTGCCAACAAAAATCTAATTACGTAGAAAAATGAAACTGAAAGTCACATTTTTTTAACATTAGTCTTATGGGTTGCTAAGCAACCATGTTGGTTGAATTGAATAACAAGGAAAAAGTAAACAAAAGACTTGTAAGTAGTCTATCCACAGTATTTTAGCAATTACAAAATACAGTACAAAAGGAAAAACATCAGTTGTTACTATTGAGCAAAGATTATACTGAAGATTACTCGATACATTGTAGCAGGACTTTTTTTATCTATGATTGTAGTAAAGGCTAGCAGTGTGGAGTGTGGGAACTGTTTATGACGATTAGATTAAGGTATCTGCAATCCTAAAATGCGATGGGAAGGTAGGGAAACAGGTCCGCGACGTCGGAAGTGGTGAAGGAAGTAGTAAAAGCAAACAGTCCGGAGTGTGGGAACTGTATATGACGATTAGATTAATGTATCTGCAATCCTAAAATGCTATGGGAAGGGAGGGAAACAGGTCCGCGACGTAGGAAGTGTTGAAGGAAGTAGTAAAGGCAAGCAGTCCGGAGTGTGGGAACTGTTTATGACGCTTAGATTAAGGTATCTGCAAACCTAAAATGCAATGGGAAGGGAGGGAAACAGGTCGGCGACGTAGGAAGTAGCGAGGGAAGTAGTCAAGGCGTGCTGTCCGGAGTGTGGGAACTGTTTATGACGATTAGATTAATGTATCTGCAATCCTAAAATGCTATGGGAAGGGAGGTAAACAGGTCCGCGACGTAGGAAGTGTTGAAGGAAGTAGTAAAGGCAAGCAGTCCGGAGTGTGAGAACTGTTTATGACGCTTAGATTAAGGTATCTGCAAACCTAAAATGCTGTGGGAAGGGAGGGAAACAGGTCGGTGACGTAGGAAGTGGTGAAAGAAGTAGTCAAGGCGTGCTGTCGGGAGTGTGAGAACTATCAATGATTATTACATTAAGTTATACACAATCCTAAAATGCTATGGGAAGGGAGGGAAACAGGTCCACGACGTAGGAAGTGGTGAAGGAAGTAGTAAAAGCAAACAGTCCGGAGTGTGGGAACTGTTTATGACGATTAGATTAAGGTATCTGCAAACCTAAAATGCTATGGAAAGGGAGGGAAATAGGTGCGCGACGAAGGAAGTCGTGAAGGAAGTAGTAAAGGCAAGCAGTCCGGAGTGTGGGAACTGTTAATGACGATTAGATTAGGATATCTGCAATCCTAAAATGCCGTTGGAAGGAAGGGAAACAGGTCCGCGACGTCGGAAGTGGTGAAGGAAGTAGTAAAGGTGAGCAGTCTGGAGTGTGGGAACTGTTAATGGAGATTAGATTAAGGTATCTGCAAACCTAAAATGCCGTGGGAAGGGAGGGAAACAGGTCGGTGACGTAGGAAGTGGTGAGGGAAGTAGTCAAGGCGTGCTGTCTGGAGTGTGGGAACTATTAATGATGATTACATTAGGGTATCTGCAATCCTAAAATGCCGTTGGAAGGAAGGGAAACAGGTCCGCGACCTAGGAAGTGGTGAAGGAAGTAGTAAAGGTGAGCAGTCTGGAGTGTGGGAACTGTTAATGGGGGTTTAAATTAAGGTATCTACAATCCTAAAATGCTATGAGAAGGGAGGAAAACAGGTCCATGACGTAGGAAATGGTGAAGGAAGTAGTAAGGCTAGCAGTGCAGAGTGTGGGAACTGTCCGTGGCATTTATGTGTCTGGAATTCTAAAATGGTATAGGAGGGCAAACAGGTCCACAACGGGGTGAAGGAAGTAGTAAAGGTGAGCAGTGTAGAGTTTGGGAGTGGATTAATGTATCTGCAATACTAAACTGCTTTCAGAGTAAACTAATGATTTTCCCCGAGCAAAGCTCGGTCCCCAGGTACTTAATATAAAGACACATGTTGTTTATTTGTAAGTTTATTGGTAAAGAAGCATCAGATAAACAATAGTTAGTCATCATCTGTGTCCTGTCTCATTCCTTTATAATGGGAAAACTATGCTGAGGCAGAGACTCAATTTTTGTTAAGATTTTGTTAATTTCTATCATGACAATTTTCAAAGCGGACCATGGCTGGGTTCTCATTTTGAGTTTTTAACTCATGATCTTGATTGGCATTTTTTGTAACCCACAAAGCTTTTTTCTTTTTGCAGAAAGGTTGATGCTGTCTGTTTTGTGCATCGTCAATGCAAGTTTTAAAAACATCTGGGTAACAATTGGAAAACTCAGTGTTTCTAACAACAAAATTGCAGTTGTTCTTAGGTTTAATATTTTCACTCATTACAAAGTTTTCATTTTGATTACATCTTCCATTCTTTAGAGTAAAAATATTGTCATTTCCTGAAGAATTAAAATATGTCTTACAGTAATTATCTGTACAGCAGCAGGTTTCTAATCCATTATCAGTTAAAACTCTGTAAAATGTACCATCTTCCTTTTTACTAATATTTGTATTTGAATTACTCTTAACTTTCATTGAATATGTTTTATTGTCTTTGCTGTGATCTTGAAAATGTCTCTCATCTTCCCTATTCTTTTGAGATAAATCCAAATCTGATGTTACATTGAATATAAATTTATCTGGTATTATACTGTCAGAAATGTCTAAAAATAAAGAATCAGCGGAAGGAACAGGTAAACAAGTGTGTCTACAAGTAATATTTTTACCACAATCGAAAAGTTTAGTATCAGTTTCATTTAAGAACGAATTTGTTTTATTTTCACTTTCATATTGATTGTTTATTTTAGAAATTATTTCCTTGTTGAAAAATCCAGTGGCTTCTTTAGAATCATTTATTTTGTAACTGTAATGATTAAAATCAGGAGTGTTAATTTTTCCCTGAAAAGCGCTTTTTGACATGCCTGCACAATTTTTACAAAATATAGATATGTTAGATATTGTGTCCGTAAGATATCCAGATTTTTCCAACAGTACTTCAGCCTGACTTTGCACAAATGTTTCAGTAGCATTAATTTTTTCAATTATACATGGACAACATTTTATCATCTCAGACATATTCATGGAAGTCAGGGCAATGTCTGGAACAACCGAGTTCTTTTGTTTCGGATCCACTTTTTTATTTGTTAAAGTAATTAGATCTTTGTAAGTTTTTTCGTAGCCAATAGAGATATTTTTTCTCTTAATAACATTGACTCTTGGCCAACTTTTTGCTCTTTGCGATGATTTCGATATATTTTTTGTGCGATTAGATTTTACTAACACCTCAGATTTACTACTCACTATATATTCTGAGTGTGAAACTTTGTTTTTGTTTACGATTCCAGAACTTCTTTTGAAATCTTCCCACAAATTACCATAATTAGCACCACATACTTTCATGGGATAAGTATGAATAACATTTTTCTGATGATCCCCAATATATACTGTATTAATTTTCTTAGTTTTTTCTGCATTACCCTCCATAATAGGCTCTTGATGTAAGGTCATACAATATCTATTGGATCTTGTCTTCACACAATTTGAATTTAAAAAATAGTCTTTTGAGTGATCTACCGAAAATGTGCTGCTTCTAGGTCTTAATCTATTTAGTACATAATAAGGGTTGTTACTTAGCTTTTTGACATGATTATTGTGTGTTTTCAAATTTGCGTGAACATTAGGGCTGGGCAAAATTCCTCTAACAGGTGATTTAGAAGGTATAGAAGTTTCACATGTTGGCAAAGTTTTTAGCAATTTTTGTTTCCAACATTTTTCTCTGTTCCTGATTCAAGTAAGCTGCACCCTCAATACCAAATTGCTGTTGGTGTATTGGCTTTAAGAGGGGTCTACTTAAAAGTTTTGCTTTCAAAATGTGAGTGTCATTTGTATCACCAGAGAATCTAGCATAGCATTTATCAGGTTTATTAACAGCTTCAAATACTGATGGTGAGATGATATTTTCAAAACTAACGTTTGCTTTCAAACTGATATTCTTTTCTAAACGTCGGTGTTCAATTGAAGATTCATTTGGATTTGAAATATTCTTCTCAATCATAACACTGTTACTGTTCTTATTATGACATGAAGCTTTGTTTCTCGTTTCAATGACATTTTCACTTTCTGTTTCATTATATTGTATCTGTCCACCACCATTAAGATTATTTGTAAGTAGAATTGTGATGCTTAATTTTGGCTCTCTTTTTAAATCCATTGACACTTCTGATTCTGAAAACAAACGTGTCAGCCAATTAAAAGAGTAAAGGAGTTTCAGTGACTATGCCCTATGTGAATTAATAATACTTATTTACTGCATGATCTCCCTTCCTCCCCTCATGTTATGACAAAAAAAAACTAATTCCTTGAAAAATGCATTAAGATCTAATCCGTTTTTATGGACTCACACAAAGAAGGGATGAGAAAATATCGACAAAACACCTGATTTGGGGATAAAATCTTAACAAATTCATCAAACCTGTCAACTTCCTCGGGAGCCACTAACAATAGGACCTCTATTACAATTATGTGAGGCGATAGCGCTGTGGGCTGAGCGAGCCAGGGAAAATGGTAGAATATCGTGAGTGGACAGCACGTTGTACCTAGAATGCGCGTCAGTCTATGTGCTGTTTACGTTTGATGTGCTAGTCCATTTTTGAGATAGACAAGGTGTGTTGGATTTTTTAACATACTTCTGCGTTTTAAAACCTACCCTAGACCAACCCATCCTAACCCAACTCTACCTAGCCCAAAAACTATCATTAGGGGTTGCAATTACGGGGACTAATATACGTGCTTCCTGGAAACTGGGACCCCTAAAGAGGCCCTCATACCACTAGAGGTGAACTCCTCAACTCCTACATGTGTTGCTGTGTTGCAAACAAGAATTTGGCCAAGACTAGATTAAAAATCTCAATTTAATGTACGGTATGGTAATTTTTTCTGGTGAGAGAGAAAACTTTTGATAAATTACTTAATTTAATTAGTTATTGTTTCTCTACTGGGTTAAGAAAGTCTTACCTCGTAGTTCTTCTCCTTTCTTTGTTGTTGAGTTGAAGTGTTCACTTTGTTCAATGGAAATGCTACATATATCACTGGAATTTCCTTCAACAGGTAGTGTAATGAAGTTTTTCTTGGTTTTGTCATCTGATATCCTTAGTTTAACTTCTTTAACATTTTTATATTCTGTACATTGTAGATTCAAGTCATTTTTGTTGGCTTTTACAAAGTTGTTGAGAATTTTACTTTTTGAAGGTTCGTGGTGAAATTTTAGTAGATTATTTTCAAATGATTTTTCTAACATCGACTGAAGTGGAATTTTATCCTGATTGCTTAAATTTGTTTTGACAATGTTTCCAGCTTTACTATTGAGTTGTATCTTTGTTTCATCACTTGTAGGTAGTTCAAATTTCTTTTGTGGTGAAGCAATATAATTTTCTTTATCTAAAGAGTGTTTTATAAACTTTTCAACTTCATTAGATACATTTGTAAGTGGATTCTCATAATTTCCCAGGGTTCTCTTATTTTTCACACATTCAGGTGACTGATCAGCTAAACTTGACAAACTGTTCCTTGAAGACAGTTTTTGACTCCAGCGATTTTCTTTTACGGTAACCGTACTAGACAAGTTGTCTACCTCGGTATTTTTTAGTTTTGCACAGTCTTTTTCCTGATCATGTCTTTCATTGAGCAAATCAATCCGAGAGTCTTTAATTGATGTTTTCAGACCTTTAAGTTGGTCATCATTCATTTTAAAGCTTGCATCACAAATGTTGAATATTGGAATATCGTGAGGTTTTGATTGTTTTTGAGTTTCAGCCAAAAAAATCGGTTTGCTATTTTTATTGGTTGTTTTACACAGTGTTTCCAATAACTTCAACATCATATCACACTCAATGTTGGTATTCCTATCAAGTACATTATTGTTTCCAGAAGAGATGTTTAGTTTAGCTATATTAGGAAGTGTAAAAGTATTCTCGGAATTATTAAAAATGTCTTTTATACTTTCAATTTTGATTTTATCATTTGTTACTTCTGGCAGATTACTGAAAACACTTATATTCCTCAAAGAAAAATCAGTACAAGTAGAAGTAGTGTTAGGATTATTTAAAAAGGAAGCATCAGTTTCTTTTTGGTTTAGCTCAATGTTCCCTTTTTGGTCATCCTTAAGACCTGTTTTTTCCTCTATAACATTTCTTCTAGTGCCAAGATTCTTCCCTCCCAGATAAATAGGTATGAATACCCTTTTCTTTACATAATCTTTCAATAACGCTTGTGACACTTCCTTCATTAAAATGTTTTTGTTGATGTTACTCGATCTGTTCACATTGCTTTGCAATCCAACCGTCAAACCTGCTTTACTATGTACTATGCTCACTATTGATTTGGAAGACTTTTTTGTGTTGATACTTATTATGTTGGAACCAAGAACTTTTTTTGACTTTATAGACACATTACTAGAAGTTTCCCAACAATGTTTTTGACCTTTCTGTTTGGAAACAGTTTTGCACTTCAATATATTACATGAGACATCACTTTTGAGGTGTCTAAATTTGTTTGGATCCACTTTGCCTTTGGCAAGTATGATAAATTTTTTCTTAGTCTTCTTGCCTCTGTTTGATGCAATGTTTTGTAGATGTTGTAGATCAACTCCATTGCGTTTCAAAGTTTCCAATTCCTCGGTGTTTAGTTTTATTTGAATATTGTTATTTAGAAGATTTTTCATCACTTGTTTGTTTTTGCTAGGAATAAACCAATCCCAAAATGAAAATGTCCCAGCGGGCTTCATAACTCCAATATTAACTCGGAGATCAGTCAATATTGACTGATCGGATGGGCTTTTTGGACAGGATCTTGACATTTTACCCAATATTTAACCAAGATAAAGTTTTTAAACAATTAATTTAATCAAACTATAGATTTTGATTCTAAATTTCCTTTTAGGAATAAACAACAACAAATTTACTTAAGCAGACAGCTGGATTAGTTTGATGAATTACTCTTAAACATAGGATTATGGTAAAAGATTTTTATTACAAGTCTTAAAATAGTGCCACCGACAATAGATTATAATAAGTGCATAGAGTACTTACTTACTTTCCGTGTCCGGAAATCAGACTTCGCTTTTCCAAAAATTAGCTACCGATAAGGCTTTGTCATTCGCATGTAAAAAATCATCTAATGTGCAAGACTGGTCTAGGCGTGGACAGATCAGCAGATGGCCAGGATCCTGAACAGCACCACACGCGCACAAGATGTTTTCTTCGTCTGGTAAGAGACCCCATTTCTGCATGTTTGTCTTGCATTTTGGTACCTCGACCCTAATTCGATTTAGGATCTTCCACACCGTGTAATGAAGGCCTCCACCAGGAGTAGTGTGTTGTTACAGCTGTTTTGTTTGGAGGCAGCTTTGTGTATTGGAGGGTATTTGTGTATTTTTTTAAGAACACAAAAGCTTATGGTTACTGGGCTGTAAAAATATTGACTCCATTTTAAATGTAGGTAGAGAAATAAATTTTCAATTGATATTGTTTTGGTTTTCAGTTTTATATGTTTTATTTTCAATTCGTTAATAAATTTATGTTCATAAAATTACATTTAAATAAATAATAAGCGAATCAATGAGCTGGTATCATCTGCCTGCCATGTTTTCTTATGGAACGGCTGGCGCTAAACAACACTACTTGCGACGTTGCCAATTCTAACAGTCCGCGACCTGGAGTTAAAGGTGGCCGCGGTCCGCGGACCACAACGTTCATCGTTCTGTGTGTTTGTACCCTTAGAGTGCTGGGTTTTACTGTTTGATTAAAATACTAGAGGGCATCTTTTGTTTATATTGAGATTTGTTTAAAATATTTTTAAACAAAGTTAAATAGCAAGAAACAAAATAGTAAGCAACAAAACACCCTCTACAAAAACTAGACAGATCCAACCTAAAAATTGTCTTCAGCTGATCTATACAGATGATACATCTTTGAAGATGATATGTTTAATCTACAATAATTATAAATACTGTTGATTATGTGTTCGTATACTCCTATATGTATTCTAGTGTTTATAGGATAGGTCGTTGGTTATCCATAGTCTGTGATAGGTAGTCAAACAATGTACAGTAGTCTCTAATAGATAATTCATCCTTATATGCTAAAAGTGATCTTGAGATAAGATACTACTGAAGACAAATTTATGTTGTATATATACCGTATAGAGTATTCATCATTATACTTGTGGCAGACAAACATACTACAATAATAATAGGTGCATGACCTTTGACATTACTTTATAAATTGTAACTGCGATGCAGACTCCTAAGAACGTGCCTACCTTGCCTCCTGGTCTTGCTCTTGGCCTAGGAGAAGTACCATAGTCACCAGAGGGTATTTATCCCATCTTAGTCAGCCAGGTCTGGTACTGGTTCTTCTGTCTTTCCCAGAGCTTAGTCCCACCAAATAAAACATATAGATCCTTAACCTTATACAAATAGTTTTTAAGTTCATGAATGTTTCATAGAAATAAAAAAAATACAGCTCGTGACATCTAATCTGGCACTTGGCCTAGCGCAGGCAGTGTAGGCGGGAGGAGGGTGGAGGTAGGGAAAAGACCGGACTGCAAACATTTCCGCTGCCTCAAGGGGTTGACTCCCCTTGTATTATGTACCTGAGCGCCTTCATATGGGTCGCGAGGACAGTTGATGCAACCCGCATGACGGGACATAATGTTTTTTAACTAGATACTAGTGGCGGTCGGCCAAGTGCCAGCTTAGATGTCACGAGCTGTACCTAAATGCTGTTCCGGTAATCTTCGCTACTGAAATCAATCTTGTCTAAGAATATCTTACTGGAAACAGGTAACAGTAAAAAGACAATTAAGAATTCTAATTTAATTTAAACTTGGCAGGTTTCCTGGTAAAGATAGTGGCTGTGGCTTGAGTCAGTTTAACACCACAATATATCAGGACACCCAGGACTGCTAGAGAGTCCAGCATGTAGTACTGGGTAACTGACAGATCCTTGGCTGGACTCTGTAGATGCGGAGCTCCCTTGTGTCTGAGTACGTACTCTACCCAGTAGAGAGCTCTCAGCAGAGGTGACTCAGGCTGATCTTTGAGTAGCACTGACCTGTGTCTGACTCTCTCTTTGTATCTGTAAAAATGTGTACAAATACTAAAACTTTGCTAATCCTTGTGTGTGTCATGTCAATGACAAAAGAAAGGTAAATGACATAGAACATGGAAACAGAGCCCGAGTGGACCTTAGGCATGTATGAAAGGTTTATGCGGTGCCCAGGGTCCGGGGCTCTTTGGTGTATGTATAATACCAAACAATTGTAAAGTCTGTGAATTTTACATCAATTATGAAATTAGAAATTGGGGAGCATGGATACTAATATTATACACTGAGATTTTTGTTAGTTAGTGTTGTTAGGATACTAATTTTTGGCACTAAGGGGCCCCGCTCTGAATGTTTGCATAGGGCGCAGTACCATCCATAGCCGAAAATACAAGGGTTAAATTAGGGTCTCCAACGAGCTCCCGTCGGCTGTCGCAGTGAAGCGAGATAGCTCAAATCTGAGATCACTCTTGTGTTCATTATTTCATCCACTACCTTTCTAGATCAATGCCACAGTTATAACACAGAATAGTCAAGTCATAGTAGCCAAAAACATTGTGAAAGAAGATCTACCTGTCTACCAAGTATTAATCACGTTCTGAAATAAAATGTCTGTGGTTTAAGGTGTTAGCTGCTATTGAGGTGTATTGCCAGTTCACATCACGAATGAAGTAAAGTATTTGAACGTTAAAAAAGAAATAGAGCAGGGACCTCGGACTTGTAGGAGGTCATAAACGTCTTGTTTGACGGAGTGGCCAAAACTAAGGGAATTTTGTTGTAGATTGCGGTACGAATGAAAAAGAGAAAGCCAAAGCAATAGAGGAGATCTCTAAAAGAATAACAAAGAGACTAGTAGTTAACACTGGTGGTCTTAAAAACCCTGACCAGCAAGGAAGCATTCATAAATTGTATAACCAGTTCCTCAAAGGAATTAAACTGCACACACTTCCACACTTGCAGCCGGTCTAGTTATATCACCAGTTCAACACACAACTGGCTGGGTTATAGTGCTCATACCTAGCAATCACAAGGTCGCATGTTCAATCCTGTGAAAAGTCAGTAGCATTTTGATGGTTCGAAACTGGACCCAGCTGGTCCTGATCATTTCGCTTTAAATAAATGATTCTTACTGATGGAACAGCTAATCTTAGTCAATAACAAAGCTACACAGGTCATCTCACAACATTCTACACCCATCCTCTACTCCTATTTATTTGTAGATTTGTACGGCCTTCTTTTGCATTTTTGCAAAAAAAAAAAACTTTTCTGAAAACGCACCTGTCAACTGGCAATGGATTTCATTTGGGATTGATTCCCATCCCTGAGAATCCTAAAACCAGAGAATGCAATTTATAGCTTAGAGTCTCTGTCAAGCTTAGAGTTTGTCAAAATGAAAATAAGTGTGTAAGGTATTTCCTAACAGCTAACAGTACACATATTCTTCTTCTTGCTTGATTGATGGGGGTCACTCTGGTCTATGGTCCTTATTATCCTCCTATAGGGGTGGAATTCACCTAGAACGGTAGTGGGTTGGATGAAGTAGAGGGTGAGACATTTGTCTCTGGTTTGATCTAGCTGGCTTGGGAACACAGCTGCTCGATGGAGACCTTAATTTAGGAACATCCCTTGTATCAGTATCTACAGGGTGGGGCAGGGAAGTATCCCTAATTTTAAAGGTAAATTAAAAGACGACCAAAAATGTTAGAGCCAAACTTTTTATTGAGATTTAAAGGTTACATCTGGGAGTTTATTTTAATATAACTTTACTTGGTTTTAAACAGCATATCCTGCAAGTTGTGTCCCTAGTCCAGTCAAGGAATGAGGTGTAGAGTGCGTGAGCAGGTAACTAAGCGATTCCTTCAGAAACTTGTTCAGGGGGCTTAGGGTGTTAACATACCAAAAGTCCTGACTCCTAGGTGGTGAGCCAGGGGGTGGAGGGGGGGAAAAGGGGGGAAAAAGGTACGCATTTTGGGTTTTAGCGAATTTCCCATATAGGGAATAAGCTATTTTGATTATATCTCGAAAACTATCAACTTTTTGTATACTATAGTAAATTATAAAATTGAAGAAGATTAAATTTTCTACAAGAAAAGTATATAATGTGTTTATTTTGGTTTAACAGATTACGAGTTATAACTTATTTAATTGATATCTTATTAAAATACTCCTTCCATAAGAAATACATGTAAATTAGTATGTGAAATGGGGCGAATCCTATCCGCCCAAAGGAAATATAAATGATATTCTGGAAATCTTGACAAAATTTCAAGTAATTTGACACTTTAATCATTAAAATTGATCCAAAATTAAGGCGAGGGTGAGGTAACAAAATGTCGAGTTTTGGTGTTTTTTTATTGGAAATATAAAAAAAACCTTAAATCATCCCATTTTTAAACGCTCACCCTCGCTTTAATTTTTGACAAAATTTCATGATTTAAGTGACAAATCCCTAGTGAAAAAAATTTTCTGGTCCAGAACCTGGCCAGTACTGTCACAGAACTGACCAGTTCTGCCACAGTACTGACAAGTACTGGCCAGGTTCTGGGCGATACTGGCCAGGTTCTGGATGATACTGGCCAGGTTCTGGGCGATACTGGCCAGGTACTGGACTGATACTGGCCAGGTTCTGGGTGATACTGGCCAGGTACTGGACTGATACTGGCCAGGTTCTGGGCGATACTGGCCAGGTACTGGACTGATACTGGCCAGGTTCTGGGCGATACTGGTCAGGTTCTGGAGGGTGCTGGCCAGGTTCTGGCGAGTACTGGGCTGATATTGAAGTTTGTATCTTTATTTTAATGGGTCTGGTTTTACTTGATAGTTTTAGTGACTTTAGCCCAGTACCTCTTTGTATTATTAATGGCAATAAAACTATATTCTGATTCTGATACTGGCCAGGTTCTGGGCTGATATCTGGCAGTGTTCTTTTTGGCTGATTATGGCCTCTGGTCCATGTGTTTGTTGTTATTTACTTAAGTTATTAACATTGGTAAATTGGAGATTACTGATAACGATTAATTTATACATTTTGAAGGTGGATCTGTACAGAGCTACAGACTGAAAAAGTGTTGTACGATTGTGATGAAATTCAGCAAGTAGGTAGGCTACCAAACCACGGGTTTTCAAAGTGTTTTTATTTTTTTTTTTAATTTTATTTTTTAATGGCGATTTTTCCATAAAATAATAGCAAAATCTTATTTTCCAAAAAAAATAGCTCAATTTTTTTTTATAAATAACTAGTAGGTATGTTATAGCCCTTTAAATTCTGAACTAAACGTTACAACTCCTTTTACTGTAAAATTACGGCTTAAAAGTTACTGTAACTTGTATGTTATTTTTTCCATAATATATTATAGAGGAAAACTGTGTTTTTTTTATATATTTATCAAAATTAGTATATTTGGGTCCTTATAATTCAAATTAAAATGGTGCAACCTCTCAGTGTTGTGAAAATTAGGGTTTATATTTATTGCAACTTTTGTGATTTTTTCCTGTAAAATATACTACTACCACATTTAAATAGTCAATGCACATACCCATACAAAGGACAAGTATGTGTCATTGGATACAGTTTATTTTTAAATAATTATCTCTAAAACCAAAATAAAAGATTGATTAAGATAACTAACTATTGTTTAGAAAAATTTAGCAAGATTTCAATTTAAAAAAAGAATTTTTGCGCCAGAATGAGGTAATGACAGGCTCTATGCCCGTGTTGGCTGTGGAGGGGACTGGTTTTTCTGTTCCAACTGTCCAACTGTCAAAAGATCGTCGCCATCTTTGCTTGGCTGTTGTGCCTAACCTCAACCTCTCGACTTTGCAAAAGTATAACTTAGTCCTTTACATTTAAAATTAAAATGTATTAGTGTATAATCGTATCAATATTATATTAGTAGCCTAAGATTTATGTTGTTAGGTAGTTTACCTTCATTTTTTAGTTTTCTTTCACCAAAGAATATCGTTATTGAAGAGGCGCTGTCTCCCAAACCAAGGTAAGGAATTCAAAACAACATTGGGCCTAGGCCTACTTTAGTTCATAAGTTTCATGTGAGTTACACATCAAAAATTAGGTTCAATACAAATTCTGCAACATCTAATCTTACTTTAAACTGATTAAAGTTAGGTTAAGTTATAAACCGGTAGTTAATAAGTAGGTAAAGTTAACTTACTTATAGAAAACTAACCTAAAATGAGTTAGTCAGGCTTTGGCTTACAGTTATAAGTTTGTACACTACCTAACAAAGTTGCATTGGGTTTAATCTTAGTGCATTTGTTAGTAGGCCTATAGCCTTGATGGGGCTTTCTTTGAAAGTTCGGTTTTTACTTGAACGGAGTCCTAACGTTTTACTGCATGTCCTAATGCGATATAACTTTTTAACCTTACTTAGGTGAATCATTGGCCACAGTTTCAAATCTGCAAATTTTAATAACCTAGGCTATATAGGAATATACCTAACTTAAGTTACTACAATCATTTTCTTAAACCTATGCAGTCAGCCTTGGTCAAAGCCTAGATTAAAAGTTAGGTTACAAGTTAACTATCTTAAATAGTCTACCGTAACTCAATTGTTAGGCCCTACCTAAATAATTCTTATGCCATTAAAGGATAGTTGATTTCATAAAATAAATTCCTTAGGCATAAGTTGGGCTACTGCTAGGTAGGATGAAAATAAAATCCAGCCAAGCGCAGTAAATCAAACTTAGGCTAGGGAGCATTAGCTTACCAAAAATAACTTCCAACAAACCGAAAATGTACTCCTATCTAACGTATTTGTTTGACCAATTCCTATCTAGGCTAGAATAACTTAATTTGTTACCGTATTTATTGTCACGCTATGGACGAGGCCTATTACATATTTTATAGGATAAGTAAGTTATTGGTTACATTTTTCTCGACTGATAGGCTTAACTTACTAATAATTTATTCATTACGGTATGTTAAGTATAAGTTAATGTTAAGTTCTAGCTAACCAATTTGCGTCAAAATCCGTTACGTTTCTCCAGCGGTATGGATTTTTCTAGGCCTGTTTACTTCTTAACTGAAAGTACTTAGGCTAGAACAAATTTTATGTTGTTAATAAATTTATGTAGGCCCTACATAGCTTGGTTATTGTATTTATACTTTTGAAATTTGTGATAATTGAATGGGAATCGGAGGCAGACCCGCTGCGGCACATTTTATGTGCGTGGGTTATGCTTGTCGAAGCGCCTTATTGTACCATGCCGAGTTTTGTGTACTGTACCCTATTTAAGCATTGAGTAGATCTGGGAAAGCTTTATTATGGTTGATTTTTAGACCCTTTTACAGCATTGAGAAATATATTATGCTGATTTTGATTCAATCAAATTTATTTATTCCCAACGTCAAATTGTCGTTACATGAGATTGCAAAAAGTTAAAGTAAAAAAAAATTTGCATGAAGTTCTTGTCAAAGGTTTAATTTCTTTTTGTCTGTCTTCCCCCATTTAAAGTTTTGAATCTAGAAACTTGCTGATAGAACCTTTTTTCAAGCTGAAACCTTTTTCAAAGTTTTGGTGGTTTTGAGATTAGATTTTGACACATTACTAGTGCTACATAGCCTACTTAATAATAGCAAACTTCTTGTTATTTCTTACAGAAGCTGTTTTTCAACCAGTTTCCAGAGGCCAAAGAAAAAGACATCGAGACGGTGATAAAAGATTGGCTAAGACCGTCAAGAAATCAAATTGTTAGCAAGTAGGAAGCAAGGTAATTTGATACCAAATGATTGATTAATAGATGATGTCAGTGACCATCAAAGCAAAATGTAAAAACTTAGCCTAAATGTTTCATTTTGCCTTACAGAGTTGATGCCTGATTTATTTGCACATAGCCAATCCCTCTAAGATATCAAAACTAATATAGACAAACAAATTAAAACCAACACTTTTTTTGTTTTTGAAACTGCAACATTTTCTCAACCAAAGCAAAATGATATGTTTAAGGAGTTAATGGCAAAAAAAGGCTCAGTAAATTGAAAGAAGCCAGGTGATTGTGCTTTAGAATAAGACATCTGTTTATGAGTGATCTCTTAAAAATTTACATCCAATACCAGTTGAATATATTCAATGTTAATAATATAATGTTACTTTTTTTCAGGAGAGAAACGACTGAGGAGGACGAAGACTGCATCCCATAAATGGCTCATGGACTCAATCTTTAGATAATCTTTATGTATTTAAAATTCATTATCATTTATAAGTGCAAAGATCTAATGTAATATTTTTAAATACATACATGTTGGAGTGTAATGCTGATTATTGATTAAGGCCTACACATTTGCTAGTGAGATAACTTTTCAAATATAGAAAAACATTAACAAAATTAAAGATTTCGTAATGGATGATCAATTTAACAGCAGTATTACCTTGCTGACTAAAATAGAAGAAAATTCACAAATAATAATTCTTTTACCAACAAAGGAGCTAGCAGACCTAATAATCCTATGTTAAATCGTGCATTGTCTTTTGAATTGTCACTAAGGTAGGCCTAAAATGTATAGGCCTATATAAAAATCCCTAAAATGCTGGCCTAAAGCCATCTTTACCAACAGTTTCAATAGAAATTTGTTAATTTAACAATCAATATTGTTATATTTTAAAAAGTTAGTTAACCTTAATTACAAATTGTGTAACAATCCGTAAAATTGTCTGATAATAGGTATGATTGAGATTCTTGTTAATATTAAGACTAATATATATTTGGTTATTTTAATTTCGTTTGACGGTTTGAATAGCACGGAAATAACAAATAAGTTTTTTTTTTTTATTATAACAGTGTCTATTGTAATTGAGTACCTAATCTTACATAAAATGCAGAATTATGGGGTCCTCAACCATTTCAGTAAGAAGTAAACATGCTCATATCAATAACCATGGTTTAGGCCTATATAAAGTTAATGAGTCTTACCATTGACTTCAGTAAGTAGAAAAGAGTGGAAATTGTGATAAGATAATGGCAGTATTTGTCTGATTGGAAAGTGTAAGGCAAGAGTGACCCTTTACAATCATTTTCTACAAAAGAGTTATATAAATGGAAATAACATAAACAATCGTCATGTACCCATAACGTAAAAATATCAGCATACAGATTTTATTTTTTGGAAAACCCATCGATAAATTCCTTTCCCTCATGTAAAAAGGTAAATTTATTTAAAGACTTATTCACGTAAAATACAAAAAACTATGGATACAAAAACGTTACTGTATTTTAATTTGAGAAAATGTGAAAGACGTGATAAAATACTAACACAATTATGTTTTTTTCACATCATTCTCATGTAAAAGTGTGTTGTCTTCGCAAGCTCAAACAACCAATACATTCTGGAACAGTACTAACCAGGCTCTAGATTGGTACTGGACCAGTACTGGCCAGGTTCTGGACCAGTACTGGCCAGGTTCTGGAACAGTACTGGCCAGGTTCTGGAACAGTACTGGCCAGGTTCTGGACCAGTACTGGCCAGGTTCTGGACCAGTAATGGCCAGGTTCTGGAACAGTACTGGCCAGGTTCTGGAACAGTACTAACCAGGCTCTAGATTGATACTGGTCAGGTTCTGGAACAGTACTGGCCAGGTTCTGGAACAGTACTGGCCAGGTTCTGGAACAGTACTGGCCAGGTTCTGGACCAGTACTGGCCAGGTTCTGGACCAGTACTGGCCAGGATCTGGAACAGTACTGGCCAGGTTCTGAAACAGTACTGGCCAGGTTCTGGAACAGTACTGGCCAGGTTCTGGAACAGTACTGGCCAGGTTCTGGAACAGTACTGGCCAGGTTCTGGAACAGTACTGGCCAGGTTCTGGAACAGTACTGACCAGGTTCTGGAACAGTACTGGCCAGGTTCTGGTTCTGGCCCAGGTTCCTGCCAATTCTGGAACCTGGGCCAGAACCTGGCCAGTAACTGGATTTTTTTCACTAGGGATTACTGGAAATTTGGTCAAGATTTCCAGAATATCATTTATATTTCCTTTGGGCGGATAGGATTCGCCCCATTTCGCATACTAATTTACATGTATTTCTTATGGAAGGAGTATTTTAATAAGATATCAATTAAATAAGTTATAACTCGTAATCTGTTGAACCAAAATAAACACATTATATACTTTTCTTGTAGAAAATTTAATCTTCTTCAATTTTATAATTTACTATAGTATACAAAAAGTTGATAGTTTTCGAGATATAATCAAAAAACCCAAAATACGTACCTTTTTCCCCCCTTTTCCCCCCCTCCACCCACTGGCTCACCACCTAGGAGTCAGGACTTTTGGTATGTTAACACCCTAAGCCCCCTGAACAAGTTTCTGAAGGAATCGCTTAGTTACCTGCTCACGCACTCTACACCTACTTTTGGATCATTCATTGACTAGACTAAATCTTAAATGCATTACTGTATTCTGGTTCTGGAGTTCATTATAACTTTGTGAAGCATTTGTTGTGGAAAGAGGCAACATTCAAGGTGAATTGCATCCTTCAAGGCATCTAGGGTCTTCCATTGAACTATCCTAGGGTTAGCATCACTCCAATAGAGCACATTCTGCTTATTTACCCGCTCCAGGAATATGGAAGTGTGCCTCGTCACTAAACAAAACCCGAGCAGCATGAGGTAGTCTTCCCGCAATTAGGATTTCACATGCCTGCATTCGTTGTTGCCAGTCCCTTTGTGTGAGTTCATGAGCAACTACCCTCTTGTATAGATGGAGGTGTAAGTCCTCATGGAGAATACGAGGCACAGTACGATTAGACAACGCCAGCGCGGATGCATGCTTACAAGGAGAACTTTGAGGAGACTTCAAAATCAATCCCGCCCGTATGTAGCTTCTGACAAGGTCAATGTTTTCAGGACTCCGGACCGTTCTTTGAGCTCCAAATATCCTTCGAAATACACCACCACATACAGGAAAGTAATTCACCCACACCAAATTGTAACAGCTTTGCGACAGGCCACCCGATAACCCGACAGCCAACGGTAGCTGCACAGCAACAATAGACAGATTTTTGAAAAAAAAATACATCTCGAGTGCAAAAGCACATTGGTCACTCGAACAAGCCATATCTACTACTGATAGTGATATTTTTAGAAATTCCCAAAACAAAAGCTTCATTTGAGCCTAACCCCATTCCTCCAGCACACCCCCACAACTCACAGTACCATCTTAAAAGTAGGGATATTTCCCTGCCCCACCCTGTATTATTACCGCTGTCATAAATAGAATCAGAACAATTGATTGAAAAAGACCAGAGACCCCCATCAATCAAGAAGGATATATGTGTACTGTTAGCTGTTAGGAAATCTTACTATTCTTACTACCTTACACACACTTGGCGTTGTTACTGTATTTTTATATGTTACTAAAATAGTTTGTTGGCTAAAATTTAATAAAAAAAACTCATAAGGCTGGTGTTTATGCAAACGATCAATATCAATTAAGCACCTTCCTCTAATGAAAAATTGTAAATTCAAACATATTTAGTGCAATTACCTTTTTTGTAAGCAGTGCAACACAGTGATATGTTTCCATACTATTGTCACCACACGCTTTTGTTCAAGTACCTACTATTACATGGGGTTTACACACCATTCTTATTTGCTTTTTAAATATTCCTTGCATAGGCATAGTGAGATTAATGCACATAAATCACAGGTCTAAGAATCCCTGATGCCCTCTTAAAAAGAAAATTTGAAATACTGTATTTACTTGAATACTTTTCATTGAAATTGCGACCATACAAAGTAGGTATTTTAAGCCAAATATGAATGGAGATGAGTGTAGGATAAGTGGCGCTATCTTGTAGTCTTAAATATAACCTCTTTTAATCGTCATTAAGCTTTCATCTCCACACTTATCAAAAGTTTACAAAACTCTGTTCTTTCCAGGAATTTCCTACAGCTAGCTTCAGTCTACAAACCTCTTATCCGTCACAACCTTGATGATAGTAGATCTGAGAACCTCCTCCGTAAGGTTTTGCCACTCCAGGATCTCAGCGTATCCGTCATCCTTGGCCTTACGACTGTTGGCCGAGTGATCACAGAAGATGGGCAGCAACACCATGGGCACCTCATGGTAAACTGCCTCCATCAGTCCGTGCAGACCTCCGTGGTTGACGAACCCAACGATCATCGGGTGACCTGCGACGTTTAATTTTATAAATTAGACAAATGTAGAAGAATTTGGTGGATAAAGGGAGATTCAGAACTATTTTGTTAAATTTCTATATCAGATAGAAAAATGAGACAAAACACTTAGTATCAGTTTATGCTGTAATAGCTATAATGTGTTTAATTTCTTTCATTGGTGTTGGCCATAAATTTGGAAAGGTCGTCCCCTCAACCGTCCAATACCCAAATTCCAACAACCCTAGTGCAAGAAACTGAGGAGGAAAGACCTATGACTTTATTGTGTGTCCTTGGAAAGTCACCCATTCGCTGTTACTGCAATATTAGTGACAAGTGTAAATATTTTGTGTAAATAGGGGCAATAAAAAATTTGTGGTATTACTGTATAGAAGATATGAAGATAGAAGACTCCCTGAAAATGCAACTATACTGGTAAAACGTAAAAAGGGTAAACACAAACCTTTATCTTAATAATAAAGGCAACAAAAATGTTAAGTACAGTAATAATTCAAGTTCTTGAAACTAAGATAACACCAAAGAAATATTATTTCAAATACATTAAGTCAAACCAAACTGTTAGGTATTTGCGGTTTAGCAAAATTAATTTTAAAAATGCAGGCAGACAATAAAATAAATCAAAGGGATTTGTGAAGCTACCAATACTTATGCAGAAGTCTTGGAAACTATGAAGTGATGTCCCAAACAGGCCCGAGGACGGCTTCAATGAAAAGTAGCAGTCATCTTGGTGGAGTAGACAGTAAACAGTAGACAAAAGACTCACTCAAAATGTACGTAAAAATGGGGATATAATATTACCATAGACAAAGGAATTAAATATAGACGGACAGCAGTGCTGCGGTTAGCATATATTCTGGCATCCACCGCGAGTGCCGTGTAGTTTTGGTGCATAGTGCTGCAGCGTCAAGCGCTAGAGAGCGTTGTCAAGACAAGTCGGTAGTTGGAGCCAGGGTTACCAACTTCTGGAGAATCCCTCGGAGTCCGGAGTGTTGGAGTTTGCTCAGGTATTTCTCCGTGTTTAAAAATGTCTGGGGATTTTTATAAAAAAATGGGCTTTTCTGTTAATATTTCGGGATTTCAGAATTTTGTACATTACCCAAATTGAAAAGTGGGTCTGATACGTTGGTAGCATTTCGTTTGCAAGGGTGGTAGTGCTGGTAGCAGACGGTGAGTCGACGTCGGTGATTTGACGACTCAAGCGGCACATCGTGGAACCTTTGTCAGTCTATATTTAGTTCTTTTGTCTATGATACAAAAACTGGATATTTTAACAGCCCTTGAGGGTCAAAAATTTCAAATGAGGAGGAGTGGTAGCATGTTTCTGGGTGTGATACCAGTGAGTGAGTGAGTGCAAGTCCTCTGTTGGCGCTCCACAAATAATTTCAAAAACTAAATATGGCACTAAACACCCAAAGAATATTTGTATCATACACAGCTGTAAGGCTTTTTTCAAGGACAAGCTATCGTTTTGTACCAAATTTAACGCAAATTGGTCAGTATTCACTATCCCTGTACTTGTTGCGAATGAAAATACATGTGCATAGATGGTTGAAATACTTGCAAATAAAGTCATTATCCTTGGTAGCTGTATTTGCAACTAGTTTCAATTATGTTGAGCAATCTTTCAGGCCTGCCATGAGTCACATACAGCTCATTTGTTTTTGACTTCTTAAAGGGCAGAAGATGGTTTAACCGAAGAACCAAAGCTGTCACTAAAGCACCTAACTTTATTCCGGTGTTTAAATAATTTAACATACAAAATTCCGACAAAATGCCGAGTTCTGAGAGTCTTAACATGTCAAAGATAAATGAATACCTAACAGGTCCTGCTGAGGGAACCAGTTGCTGATCCTCACGTTGGGAGGCAGCTCAAGTGTCTCGTTGTTGTTCTCGTATTTCCACAACACCTGATGCTGCAGTGTGCCGAGTACATTTACTATCAGCTGACGTAGTTGTGGCGGAACTTGCGCCGATCTCAGCGACGTGCCGAAACTGACGTAGATGAAACCTTTACTAGCTCCTCCTCTCACAAACTCTTCCAGCTCCTGTATGAATGTGGGGTGTTTAAAAAGATAAATATTAAATATCAATCAAGCATGGTTAATAAAACGTACATTAAAAAAAAAAACTCTGTAAAGTAGTATGAAGAGCATCATAAGAAACCGTTTGAGTAACTCCATTAGAATTCTGTGAAAGATGTGTCTGTCTGCAATGATGTTTCATAGCTCTAACCGTATTTTGACCTAGTACTATGCCGAGTATTTTGACTATCTATTACTTATATTATAAAAAGTTAATCAATTAATCAATTATTTAAGATTTACTTTACACACAAGGTGTATGGTCAAACACAAATTTCAAATATATACAGCAAGTGGTGTTAAAACCAACTACATTTCAGTGACTTATATACTAGTAGGTTAGCAAGTAAAAGTCAGCGAACACAGAATAAAAAAGTCGACACTAGTACATATTAAGGATTGTCTGATAAGGTGCGTTTTACCATTCTTAGAAGCAATCTTAATTACGAATGGCAGAATGTTGTTGGTGTTGATAGTGAGCTAGTTATAAAAAGTTTTTCAGTCTGATTATACAGAATTCTACATTCATTATGACAGCTAACAAAAAATATCCCCCCCCCAAAATCTCCCTAAAAAGTCCCCCCCCAATGCGCCACGGTCCCCCCCTCTGGGCACCCCTGGTAGGTTTACATCTTCGATCTTTGTAATCCATACCTGTATAATTACTTCTTTTTGGTTACTTCAAATTCTACAAAAGATAAAAAGTAATACATGTATCCGGCTGGGAAGCAGAGTGGTTATGGTGCTTGCCTAACAGGCCAATCAATCAACAGGCCAATGGTTTGATCTTGAGAAAATTCAGTAGCTTTTTGATGGTTTGAAATCGGACCCAGCTGACCCTGACAATTGTTCTTTATATTAATGATACTGGCTAATGAAACAGCTGATCTTAGTCAGTAACAAGGCTACACAGATCATCTCACACCATTCTACACTCATCCTTAACTCACACTATAGGGTTAAAATACGCACCTGGGTGGCATCCCCCTCTGAATGATTGATAATTGATAGTTGACGGCAAAAATCTATTAAATTATTCTCTCAAATCAAAAGTTTAATCTTTTTAAGGCCCCAATATCAAACTGTGATACTATCTAGTTACAGTACAGTATTAATCTCAAAATCTAGCAAAAATGCCAAACTAAGGAAAGAATATAAAATATTGGGTGTGTTGCCTGTCCAGTCAGGGGCGGATAAACAGGGAGGGGGACTGGGAGAACGTCACCCCCCCAAACAAAAGATTTTTTGGGTCAAAATATACGAAATTTATCATTTTAAATCAATTAAATGACGTTTAATCCAACAAGAATATTTTTTTTTCTTTCGAATTTCAGTTTCACGATGAAAAGCTACAAAACTCATTATTATTAGGACATTGTAAATTTTAAAGTGCATTGGGAACGGGATAGCTTAGCAATCAAAATGTGAATGTAAAATCCCTTGGTCTATGTGGGAGACACGACACAGTGAACTGCATGTAGACCTTGTTGTTCTTACTTTTTCCATCGCTTTTTGTTTGTTTGAATGTGCATTCTTTTTGTGGTTTTAATATTCAACATAAATATTGTATCATTTCTAAACATTTTTGTGCCTAAAGATGTCTGCTTCAATAATATAATATACATATATATTATTTCAAAATCTAAAGCTAAGACTAGTGGCTGCGTGAAAAGTTAAACAACCTAACCTAAAGGCCGGTTTACACATATGCATCTCGCATGGTGCGACTAGCATTTTTCTTGCTACTAGCATGCAGCTTGAAGACCAACCTGTGTTAATCAATTGTAGCTTACACACATATGCAACTGGCACGGTGCTGCTAGCATGCAGTGCGCAGCGCCACTCGGAACCGATTCGTCGGTGTTTTGGTGCTGCATGCAGCGTGCATCTTCAGTTGGCGCATGCGCAGAACACATTTCCAAGTCACATGGCTATTGCAAAACTTTATTCATTCACATACTACATACATACTGTGAACTGTAATAAAATAGGGAGTCGCTCCTAACACAGACAGAATCACGTTATCTACTATTTTTTGTGTCACAGTGGTCTCTAGTGAATATTTAGCAGCTCAGACTTTGGTACAAGAGACGTTGGTTCAATTCTTCTCATATTAAGGAATTGGGTCAGACAACAATATTATAGGCATTTTTGATTCTTCAATACAACATTATAAACGGCTAACACACTCAACTTTTAATAGACATGTATACACTGTGTAATTATACCTGTGATAGAGGTTGAAGTGCAGTACAGTGTATACAAGCTGTTTCTACCACCCCAGAGACATGTATACTGTGTATAATCATACCTGTGATAGAGGTTGAGGTGCAGTACAGTGTATACATGCTGTTTCTACCACCCCAGAGACATGTATACTGTGTATAATCATACCTGTGATAGAGGTTGAGGTGCAGTACAGCGTATACAAGCTGTTTCTACCACCCCAGAGACATGTATACTGTGTATAATCATACCTGTGATAGAGGTTGAGGTGCAGTACAGTGTATACAAGCTGTTTCTACCACCCCAGGCAAGAAGGGGCGAGGGTAGGTTATGGTGTGATGTCCATTTTGTAAGATCAAGCTGACATTCCTCCCTACCAAACTGTTTGGTGGAATGTTTGTTCCAAGATGTCTTCTGACCACTGGTTCCACAAATACCTGAACAAACATTTCATAAGTTTAGTGTCTATATTAGTACTCATTTTATATTCTTCATCTTTGGTTGTTGTTGTAAGTTGCTTAAACTATGTTTGTCATATACTATGCTGTATAGTCAGTGGCAGTGAAAAAACCCACGTGCCTCCCCCGCAAGTTCGTTCATTGGCCTCCTTCTTCCAATAAACTTTAAAAACATTATTACAGGTAATTCTACCTAAGCTTGCAATGGGCTTGGCACGGCAGTGATGGCAGGGGTGGGTGCTATGGAGGCTAGGCAAAGATCTTTCTTCAAACATTCAGCTACTGACTCACAAAATACTAAGTTTTATTAGTTTTAACTTCTGATGTAGAGATCACTTGTATTTCACCTATTCTATCACCATCACACAGGCCGGGAGGCCAGTTGATGGAACGTGCATGCCAGTAGAACATTTTTTTTATTAGGTTAGTAGAGAATTTCTATAGATTGGTCAAAAGTCAGTTTAGCTGTTGTACAACTCTTTTGTCCTAGCACTTTTACTTTGACAAATATATGAACACATTTAACTCATATAAATATTATTGTGATAGGGAGGGCCCGTGTGGCAGGGTGTTGCAGTCCAGGTCAAGGAAAATCCCGATCAAGGCTTGCGGACCCGAGGGCCCAGTATCACTGCCACTGTATTTTATGAGTAGAAGATTGGTATAGAAAAAAGAAATTACAGTGGAAGGTAGGAGTCAGTGTGGTACAGTAGCAATGTGCATGAATGTCCAATCCTAATTTAAAGAAATTGAAAATTGTGTCCACTACATTCTTGTACTTGGTGAAAAAATTTCATCTTAAGCTGGGTTTTCCTAGGCGCGGAGTCGGCGAGCGGAGAGAGGAACGCGGAGAGCAGAATTGAAATTAACATGGCATTCCGCTCCGCTTCTAGGAAAACAGTAACATTAAATTGCCTAAGACAAGTGAAGTCCGCTCTCCGCGTTCCTCTCTCTGCTCGCCGACTACGCGCCTAGGAAAACCCAGCTTTAGGGGTAAAAACACTGGCTTGAGGCATTGGAATTTAATTAGAACTGAAGTTTCAAAATGTCTTGATGAATTACTTTTTTTCATGGGTGTTACAGTAACTGTCCAACTCTTCTTGATGTGGAACTAAACTAACAACAATTTTTGGCAGCTGGTCTCTTGTGATCTCCTTGATCTCCAACTAGTTGCACACACCCTGATTTTGGACAGTAATAAAAACTCTACTGATATTTAACAAATAACTTCTTGATCAGCATTGTACATGTTATTAAATTTATGGAAAGTAAATAAAGTAAAGTTAAAAAAAATTATGGAAAAGAAAGTTTTAAATTATGGAAAGTAAATTATGCTTATACTGTTACTCATAAGACGGTAAAAGACGTTTCTTTTGGTTTGGTTCACTATTGGAATTTGGACGGTAATTGGCTGTCTGAAACCGGAGTGTGTACAACTAGCCTAACTCATCTGCCTGATTTTATATTATACCTTGTTTACAATATGCATAGTTTATATAGAAAACATTCTGCCATCCAAAATCGTTCAGTGCTATTATCGTACCTTGTTGAGAATTACTGATATAGCCTGTCCAGCTATATGGTAGACTCCGTTAATGGTCCTCTCCCAAAGGTCCATCCTGTCGGAGTAGGGAGAGTCCAGGAAGGGAGTAACAGAAGGAAGAACAGGGTTTCCGCTCAGGGAGAACTGTATGGTGTGGAATGCAACAGTATTGAGGAAGACAAAAGGACAGTGGAAATGGACTGACAGTCCGATCAAGCATTCTGGGAACGCACCATCTAGAATCAGGAGATCCACCTTCGTAGAGAGAAGCTGTTGAGTTTCTGTTGATGTGAAGAAAGCATCACAAATCTGTAAAATAAATTGAATATTGTTAGATGTGACGATAGAGTAAGCAGTAAAAATAAGGATATGGGTGTAGATCATGATTGAGTGGATAACAACAATTTTCTCATTCAGACCTAAATCCTGAAACGATTTCCGAACTCCCTAATTCGGACCTGATTCAGAAACTGATTCCAAACATCCTTCCATTACCTTACTTGGGCCTGAACTACTTTAATCAGAACCTGAACAAAAATTTTAATGTGGGAGGAAAGACTGATCTTGGTTATTATTCTAGCAAAAGGAAAAGATATCCTCCAATGTTTTCAAAACGATTGCATAATTTTCAGTGGAGAGAATTCCTCTTCAATACAAAGACAGTTTTTTTTCATGTAAGAAATAGTTATTTGTGTAACTAGTGAGCAAAGTGGCACATTGCTGCACACGACAGCAATGTTTAAGCACGAGCCGCAGGCGAGTGCGGAATGATCTCGTGTGCAGCAAAGGCCTTTTGCACTCGTATTACACATTATATTTTCCTACAGTCACTATAAAGCATATGTATAATTAGTCTTTCAAACACTATACAACACGTTTTTAGGTTCAGCTGGCAACACAAATAGATGCCCTAGAGAAAGTAGTCCCCGATCCGTATCACTCCGCTATTTCTCATCGGCAAGCAATGTGCTCCGCGACTTGAGAAAATATTTCCGTATGTTTTTGTAATTTGAAGTGGTTTCCGCGCCTAAAAAATGCTTTAAAGGCATTTTCTTGTTTATTAAGATCGTAGGAATGTTTTAAAAACGTTTAAAAGAAAACTCCAAAAAGTTCAGAAATACCGAAACTATAAACACGAAATGACAGGTTAACTTGTAGTTATAATAGTCAATCAGCTGCTCATAGTATTATTATCTTTAAGTGTTGCCAACCTTATTTCCAAGCGTACATGGATTACGTGCATAATAGAACCACGCTATTTTGTGTTGTTTCGTTGGAATCCTGATGTGCGCCAACGTATAAACCGTACGATAAAGTATAAACTGTACGACAAAGAATAAACCGTACGACAAAGTATAAACCGTAGGACAAAGTATAAATATGCAGCAATTAGCAGCTTTCTGTACTATGATTACGGTATTTTAGTCTTCATGTAGTGGGAAATGAAAACCAATAAAAGTTTCAAACAATGAAAACAAGTAAAGGTCAAGGTCCAGCTGATACAGGCTTCCAACAGATAAGGAACAGATAAGGAATAGGAGATAGGAGTTTGTCCAGTGGTCAGTAGCAATTCCTCTGTCAGTCTGTTAGATACTTTTCACTGATGATAGATAAGTCCAACACATCAAGTGCTCCATAACCACATTGTGTAGTATGTTCAGCTTTATGTTAAAATTATAACAAAAATGGCAAGTGCAAGTGATAAAAGTGAAAGTTCCAAATCCTTTCTAACCATTGTTGAAAATTGTGTTGAGTGTCCAGTGTGTTTAGAAACTGTAAAAGTTCCTTTTAAACAGTGCTCTAGAGGTCATGTTGTATGTTTGTCATGTACCACCATCACCAAGATAATAAAATGCCCAATATGCGAAGGGCCGTTCACACAGGAAAATCCAGTTAGTCTAAAAAACATACTGGAAGCTCTACCACGCAATTGTATCTACAGTCAAGACGGATGTAAGGAAATTGTGGAACCAGGTAATGATCATGAGGAGTTATGTGGCTACAGACCGATTACTTGTAATGAGTTTGGTTGTTATGTTAAAATGCCAGTTGTGAAGGTATTAGATCATTACAATGAACATCATGGGAAAATTGGCAAAGTTACAGAAAGAATTGTAGAAGAGTTTGAACATAGATATTTTTGCTCTCCAGTATGGTTGTTTGACAATTTGTTTTGGATTTTAAATTTTAATGATAGAGAATCAGAATTAACAATACAGAAAGTTTACTTTCTTGCAACGCCAATTGGTAAGCTCGACCATGATTGCTATGTTCGTGTTACAATAGAAAATGGTGATTTTGTTGTAACTAACACGCTGAAAGCTACATCTTGGGACAACAAAATTCCACTCTATGAAGTGTTGAGAGGGAATTTTAAAATGCCAGTTGAAAATGAAAGATTTTGTATGAAAACTAAATGTTGTCAAGTACATGATTGGGAATCCAAAACAAAGAAGAAGACAAAATTCAAGCTACATTATTTTAAAAAAGAATGAAGGTACAGTATGAGATTTTTGGAACATTTCAGATTAGACCTAGGCCTATCATAAAATAAATTCAGTCTTGATGATTGAAGCAATAAATCAACAACACCTTTGTAAGCGGAATAAGAAGGAAACTTAAAATGTTATAATGATTGTAAATGAGACAAAATTTAACAACCCAACTTCAGTTTTAGGATCTGAGAAACATTAGATGAATTGCTACTTCTAAGAGGACAATAGTATGATTTATTTAGCAAAATAACAGGGTATTCCAATAGATAAGTATTTGTATACTTTATCTACACTATTTTTATTACACTAATCCGTCTTCAGGATGTACTAAGGAAACATATTTTTGTATAGGAATCATAAAAGTATCCTAATTTAAATTAATATGTTACTTTCCTAAAAATCAATGTAAACAAAGTGTATACTACATATATCAGTCAAGTAAACCTAGCAGTATTTGAGGTTTATAAGAAAATGTAAACAATCGTATCTATTTGTCGAAAAAAATTAATTAAGGAAGAACACAGGCTTTGAGTTGCAGGACCTACATTATTTGTTTTCAATTATATTGTATGTGAGGTTTGGTTTAGTTATAAAGTTTATATTAGTTTCCTTGTTTTTATACATATTATTTACAAGGTCAAAAGTGCAAATATTTAGTTCTAACAATGATTTTATGTTGCATTTGCAATTTGCAGTTATGACTAGAATTTAAATTCACAGTTTTGTAGTACAAAAAGCAAGTATGACTTTTTCTGTGTCAACTAAATACCATTTCATAATCTTTTTCACAATTATTATCAACCTTATTGTTATCTAGGCTGAAAAGTATTTTCTATATAGACTAAAAATTACATTTAATAGGTGAATGAATATAAATTTTAATTTAAAAACAATATTCCCAGATTTTAAAAATCGAAGTAGCTTACACCTCGATTACCTGTTCCATGTGTAGCATAAGTAAACTATTTCCTATGATAGAATTTTCAATATTTTAAAGGTCTTCATATTTTACGATAGATTTATATGATGCTATGTAGTAGCCTACGTATTTTGTATTATTAATTGAGGAATTAAACAGTTTATTTTGTTCAATTATCCATCATCTTATTTTTAACCATCCATTCCAGAGGCTTGCGGTATAAAAGAAATCGCAAAAGCGTTTAAGGGAAAGTAGATATGCCATAAGGTTCAACACAACCCCATAGCACTGAAGTCAGAGTTATGTTTTAAAACTAAATCATAAAATTAAAATATTTTTAAACACCCATCAGCGCCATGGTTGTATAGCAATTTCAACCCCTTATCTGAAAGATAAGATGATTACTCTTAGTGGTAAGATTAAGTTTTGTTTGTAGAATGAATAATTATGAATAGTCCAACTATTCCTTCAAACAGATCTAAAGAATAGCATTATTTTCTTTTGCATCCTCTTCCCATTGAGAAACACAAGCAGCTTGTAAATTAAATTTTTTTGTGTTTTTTGTCTCGCTCAGGGGACAATAAAATTAAAAGTAAATCAGTCCCCTATCACCTACGGTACTAGCTTCTTCCCTATAGAAATAAATTTGGGAAGTGAAAATTTGTGAAGTAAATTTGGTGAAATGTACGTAACTCAATTGAAGCACTGACAGAGTGCAGAATGTCAGTTAGTATAACTTCTGTCAAAAATGCAGACTATTTAACAAAGTTAGTAAAAATGATAATTTATTGTGGATAGCATGTTGTAGGTGACATCAAATACCATATTTGACGTACGGTATATAGATGCATAACAAATCCATGACACAGATCTAAAGAACAGCATTCTTTTGCATCCTCTTCCAAAAATGCAGTCCTCCAAATGACATATTTTGATAACAGCACACCATGTGATTGCTCTAGTATGAATGAAAAGTTGGCTACCAGCTTCTTAATGTAGTTTCATATAGATTTTTCATATACTGTAGCCTAGATGTCTACTTGCCTGGTTGTATATCTAGATATGCCATCTATATGAAACCAGTTTGTAACCAATTTTTAATTTCAAAACAACATATTTGATTGATCACTCACAGAGTGTCCTAGTAGTGCAGTAGAAATAATCTAAAATATAGCTTAAGGTGGAACTAATTGCAACACAAATGATTCTTGCTGTGAATGGTAGGTAGTATGCTTCTAATTCAAATACTAAAAATATACATCCGTACTGTGGCGCAAAATACGTTTTTTGGCCGCCATCTTGAAAAAAGTGTCAACATTTTAATATTCGTAAAAATAACTTTTTGGGTATCAAATTATAGGAAATTTAATGCTGAAAAATGTTATAATAGTGAAGCACTATTTAGAAATACGATCTTAGTACAAAATACCCCCACCGCAGCAAACCTGCAGACTAAACGAATTTCCATTTGTCTTAATTGATTTGCAATTAAATCTAGTAATTCAGTTTTAAAAATCTTTGTACAACTAAATCTAGAGTTCTACTTGACCGATTTTATTAACTAATGGGTCATTGGAAAGCAATTCGTGTAGATTTTCAAATAATTATGATAGTTTGATTTTTTAAGATTTGCTAGGTGAAACCCGTCAACGTCGACAATTAGCCTAGGTGGTACTGTTGAGGTTGCAAGCAAAATATAAATCGATGATAACTCCATTTTTAAACAATTTGGGTCGTTTATGATTTAGCAGTGTGCTTTAGGTACGTCCGATCTCAATAATCAATAATTCCAATGGAATTTGGTATTTCACTGAAGATTTTTAGATAAAAACGTATAGGATAATGTAACTGCTGGAATACATTTTTAATTGAAGTAAAAATTGAAAAAATCCAAT